TCAATTCGCAGCTTTTCGGCATCTGTCAAGCCGTATCCAGAGTATGCGCCAAGACACAGCTACGTGAAACCGAGGCACGCTGCGTCAAGTTGCAACTGACACCTGATATTTACTGGAGGATGTTTTTGAACTTGGAGTATCCTGATGATCCAATTATCCGGAGTCACCTCAGGTGCCTTGGTATTATGGGCGATCTTTATAACGATGAGACCGGGCCCAAGTTGAACAAACTGTATGAGTTATATGAAGAAGTAACCCCACTGACTCGTGAAGGGTGGTATCAAGAAAAGTTCTGCTGTCTTGATAACGTTTATGCTAACGGTTATCCTGAAGATTTGGGTCAGCGAGTTCTCCTAACCTTTTCATGCTTTAAGAATGATTTTTTAGCTGTAGTAGGGAATTGAATGGGTGGTTACTTTTATGAAACGCCTGTGCAATGACTTCATGCAGTCGAAATAAATCAATTCTTCCCTACAGACTTTTTACATGTAATTTATATCCAATAACGGCACACGTCGCCTCTCTTAAGCTTCAAGTGTGTAATGTAGTTCAGCAATCTCAGTGTTTTTTTCGTGATGCCTATACGAAAACGTTTACCAAGCTGTCCTTTTGCCAACTGGCAAAAGTGGCGACACATGAAAAACGTGAAGATCAAGGCAGCACTAGAGAACTACCGGGTGGAAATAAATCTCGCTCGCCATTGCAGTCACGTCTTGAATTATATGTCGCGGAGTAAAGCATCATAAAGTAAACGAGGAAGAAAATGTGGTTAATATTTTCAAATTGATTATCTACAGCATGACATGGTCACGTAAGGGATTTACACAAAGTGCCTCTAATAAGTCCGCATGTGTGATTGAATACTACATACCAGCAAGGTTGCAAAGACTCATTTCAGCTAAAATAATGTTTTTCGGAATAATAAAACCAAAAGATGGTATGATGGCATGTTTTACTTGTAACTTACAAGAAGAGGTTACAAAGTATGCGTTGGAAACATAAAACCTGTAAATTTTGCTTTCTATAAGTCACAATCAGTGATTTGCTGATCGCTGAGTGAGTGAGTGAGTGAGTGAGTGAGTTTGTGAAAAATCGCTGATTGTGACTCTCATGAAGTGAAATAAACAGATTTAATATGTCAAACACATTCTTTGCAACCTCTTCTTGTATCCTACCAATTCAAAATTTGATCATGGCATCTAATTATTTCATAATTTAGAAAAACATTGTTTTAGCTGAAATGAGTCTTTGCAACCTTGCATACCAGGATCAATAAAAGTTTGCCATTAAGTTATAGACTTTTACACAAAACCAGGAAATGAAGGATTATGTTAAATTTCATATGGATAATAAACTACCGCATAGATTCTGTAATAGTCGTTGGGAGATTTTTCAAATAATGTTATCTAAATTGATAGTCATGCATTGTGCATTGATGCTGGAAATTCATCTTGCTCTAAAATCTTCACACATTCATTCTAGATCCTGAGTACCTGCGGTGTGCATAGGGCCAAAGTAAAAGATCATCCTGGGTAGTTGTTTTGCCTTAACTGGGACACAGGTCAGCTTTCTGTCGACATGCTTAATTTCCTTGAAGATACTCTGCCGTCATCAGCTCTGGGCTTACCTCTGATGCGATATGTCCTGTCGGGTTCCAATCCAGCACATGCTTGCAAATTTCGTTTCCGCCCCAACACACCTCCACTTACGCTCTCGAATTTCTGTTGACATCGGCTATTGCGTTCGGCATTCGAGATCCGATTAAGGATCCACGAGTTATATACCGCAGATTTTGGCTAATGAGGACGTGCAGTATTAAATATTCTCCGCTGATACGCATCCATGAGCAGTTCCAGGCCCAATAGCGAAAAAATACAAATTTTAGATTTTACCTCTCATAATTCCATAAAACTTCGCCTTTACCATTTTTTTAAATTAATCACCCTAATCACCTGACCATATTAGCCTTGAAAGCAAGCATGGGAAAAATCATTCACTCGCGTGAGCACCATAGAATCAAAATAGCCATCCTTACCTACAAACAGATTGCCGAACGAGTGTAAATTCTTCCAACCAAGTTACTCGCAGGTCGACTCAGAACTGACAGCCGTAGAAGGAAAGAAGGATAAACTGAAAGGCATCCGAACAATTTTCTCTACCGAGCAAGAACCAGATTGAATGCGTAAAATCTGAATGCTAACGATTTAAATAGCCGAATCAGAAGTTTTTGGCTCACTGATTTTAATCATTTGAATTGGCCACAGCAGTTTTACGGTATTTGTAGTGACGCTTATGTTTATGTGTTACAGTATAACATTTTTTTTTCCATATTAATAGCAACTTAAATGTGTCAATGTATGTTTAACGGAAGAAAATAAAAAGTGATTATTTCTGCAAAATTCTCATTCAGCTCACTCAGCAGAATGCAATCCTAAAAGACTTAGCATGAAAAAAAAAATAAGTGAGCAATCATCCACACTACTACACTCAGAATCATTCAAGTTACGGTCAGCTGTCTGTTTTGCTCAATTCTGCGTTCATCGAAGAAATTAGAAGCAAACCCTAATAAAATTTTTATGGTTATTTTGCTTAACGACGTGTTCCGGGTATCATCCAAACCATTTGTGGCATAGTTCTATGATTTGAGTTATCATTCGATTATGGTTTTTTTTTATTAGGGAAGTGAATACGATAGAAATCAGTGGGGCTCGCACAAGCTGCTGTTCGTTTCTGATGTTGTATGCGTGTTAGTGATTAGTAAATGCAAAATGAAACGATTTTTCCCATGCTTGCTTGAAAGCACAAGAAATTGTCTTTAAACGCAATATTATTTTAAATAAGGTTCAAATGAACTTTAAATCATCGATATTTTCTAAAAACACTTAAAAAGTATTGATAAAATATATGATCAACGTTTTCTGACTCCAATACTGATCTTCGTTGGTCTATATTTTGTGAATATGGGCGCCACAATGAATCCTCGCCATCCATGAAAAAATTCTAAGTATGTAACATTACATTGCTCAGCGCCCAATTTTAGCTACCCTATTCATAAAAAAGCTGAGGTTTCAGGGATTTTGATACAGAAAATATAAGATGAAAAATATGCTCATTGTTTACGATTTTTTTTCAACTTTGGTTACAAATATTTTCTATTCGTTAATATATTACGCACAATTTTTTGACGTTTTCTAGAGCCTAGAATATCTGCATCCATTTGGCATACATATATTTGAAATTAAATATGGTTTGAATTTTTCCTTCCACCTTCAGTCCCATAGCGCAGTCCCTTACTTACTTACTTATGAAATCAAAGGTGGACGAAGAAGTAAGCCTATGATTTAATTTTTGAAGATTATTCATCTAATCGCGTGAAATAACGGTGCTTTGCAATATTTGTTTCAGAACATATTTTAAATCCTTTATCTTATAAAAAAATAAGTTTTTTTTTTCGTCACTTTCATGGCTAAGGCTTGTACTCGAAAAAAATGCACCATTTTTATCCGTGTGTAACTTTTTTATCCGTTGGTACAAATTGATGAAAATTTGGGTATAACTAGTTTGGAGTGAATTGTTTACATGTGCAAAATTTCATAACAATCGGTTCAGTGGTTATTGAGATGTCATCGAAACAAGAAGAAAATCGCCGGAGAATTTTGCGCGCCATCATGGAAAATCCGACTGCGACTATGAGATGGATCGGAAGACAACTGGGAATCACCCATACAACTGTGTCTCGGGTGCTAAAATCGTTTAAGGAATCCCAGACGACCGAGCGGCGGGCTGGAAGTGGAAGAAAATCGAAGACAGCTGACCCTGTGAAGGCCCGGAAGGTGTTGGATTATTTCAAGCGTAATCCGAACCTTTCGATTCGCGAAGCGGCTCTGAAGGCAAAGTGTTCCGCCTGGTTCGTTCAGCAAACCATGAAACGAGCTGGGCTTCGTGTTTTCAAGGTCCGGAAGGTACCGAACCGGCGTGATCAACAAAACACGGCTGCCAAATCCCGCGCAAGGAAGCTGTATCGAGAGTGGTTAACGAAACCGATGTGTGTGGTTATGGATGACGACACCTACATCAAGGCAGACGCAAAGCAGATACCGGGGTTGGATTTCTACGTTGCTAAATCACGGTTTGATGTTCCGGAAGACATAAGGAAGAAGAAAGTGGACAAATTCGCCAAAAAATACTTGCTCTGGCCAATGTGGTAAACTGAGTAAATCGTACATCACAATGGGTACCATCAACAGCGAAATTTACCGCACCGAGTGCCTCCAGAAGCGTCTGTTGCTTTTCCTGCGGTTCCACAGAGGTGAGACATTATTTTGGTCGGACCTGGCATCATGCCATTACGCGCGATCGACGTTGGATTGGTACAGAGTCAATAACTTTGTTTTTGTACCAAAAACCGCCAACCCCCCAAATTCACCAGAGATTCGTCCGGTGGAAAGATTTTGGGCCATAATGAAGGCCAAAGTTCGAAAATCGTCCAAGGTGTTTAAGAACGAGCTGGAGTTGAAGAAAGAATGGATGAAAGTGACCAAAAAGGTCGACTCCACCATTGCACAAAATGTAATTAGGGGTCTTAAGGGAAAGGTGCTAGCTTTCAGCGATGGAAAGGAAATTGAATAAAGTAATTATGCCGAAACATAATCCATATGTATTAGTTCATTCCCTGAAAGTTTCAAGAAAATCCGACTTAAAATAAATTTTTGGCGAACACTTTTGTCTGGTGCATTTTTTTCGAGTAAAGGCCTTAGTTATGAGATTCATTTTGTTTTGTCATATTTGATAAGTCTCACAAGACAGGAGCGGCTACAAGCGTCTTTTTATTGTCAATATTCTATCACGGTGACAGAAAATTGAGCGACGTGTCGGTGACAATTGACCTTGTTCTTAAGTCCAGGATATTCAATACTTTCTATGTGATTATGTAATCATTCCTTTCTTCAATGGTGTAATTAACCTGTATATTTTTTTTCTTTGCATCTTTTATCCCACAGTCCGACCAAAAGTGGTGTTTTCTCAGGCGTGTCGTCAAAAGTGACAGGTTGGCTCGGAAATGCATCCATGCCGTCGATGCCCGCGATGCCATCCATGCCAACGGTTTCAATGCCAGCGATGCCTGCAATGCCTTCCATGCCCTCAATACCTGGCCTACGCAAACCCAATCAGGACGAGAATGGTGGAATCACGAATGAAGGTCTAACCGCATCACCGGAGAATGCGAACCAAGGTATTGCCGGATCGACGGATGCAGCCGACGAGGAAGACCGGTCCAGGTATATTAGGTAAATGGGCCGATACATAATTGATTGAAATTATGCTAGTTAGTGAGACGGAAACACACGTGAAGAAAGAGGAAACGAAATGAGATTATTGTATAGCTCAGAGAAATATGTGAAATTTGATTTGCATCCTCTTTCAATCAATCGATCGATTTAAGTGCGCATAAAAAGCACAATTGTTTAAAGAAGCTGAGTTCAATCGACTTGTACTTGAGTATACATATTTACATTCATTTTCTCTGCGCTAATGCTTGCTTCCATATATATATATATATATATATATTATATATAATATGTATGCTTCTCTCTACTAAGGAGTATTCTTCTAACGAGCCTGATCAATAGTCGATTTTGGATGTATCCGTACATTTATGAATGTCTGCTGGAAGTGGTGTAGAATTTTGTTTAGGCCTGTTTATTTTTCCTCGGTGTATTATATAGACAAATTACGACTATCACCCTACTTAACGGTTGCTCTTTTATGTTATACCTAGATGGTGGAAGTGAAAATTATCTGTGCTCTTAATCGGTACTGTTAAAAATTTGTTTTTCTATTTGTATATTCACCCCTATTCTGTATTTCGTTTCGAACGAAATTCTCATACAAAAAAATATTTTTTTGTATGAGAATTTCGTTCGAAACGAAATACAGAATAGGGGTGATTATTTCATGACATTTGGTTTCCCCTTCTGTTTCGTTTCAAATTTAATATTTTTTTTTTTTATTATTTTAAACTTTTTGAAAATCCCACTTAATTAAATAATGTACGCAAATGAAATTTTCGTGATGTGTAGAAATATAGTACAAATCATAACACATCATCAATCAAGTCATTCATAATTTCACAGTCACCTCTTTTCGTTGTTGTTTATTCTCATCTAATCACACAATGTCTTGAAAGTTGTGTCATGTCAAACGTAATTAGTTCAATGAAAAATCAAGAAGCATATAAAATAAAGGAAAACAACATTTGCATTTTAGTTTAAAAAAAAAGTAAAGATTTTAAAAAATTCACCAAAGATCAAACTAGTGCGTTTAAAATAGTTTATTTTTTATTTTTTATTATAGTTACTTTAACACTTTTGGGTCATTCGTGACTTCTCCGGGGGTTAGATTTGAACTCGTGACTTTGGCGTAAGAGGTTTGGATGCTAACCACTACGCCGGGGTCGCCCCCTTTTAAAATAGTTATGAGAGTATTAAAAATATGTATAAAATTAAAATATTTCAATAACTGAATGAAATGTTGTCTAGTACTTAGATTGACATGACACAGCAACAAGGAGATCCCTGCTTTCCTTAATTTTATTAATTGTCTCGTTCCATTATACTCACGCGTTTGGATGGCACGACGCGTTGCATATTTTTATGCTCAGCACACATGGTGCAAGGAAACATTACCGTATCTATGACAAAAGTAAAAATACCGTCGTAGCGGAATTTGTCTTTGCCTTATGAATGGTAATTTACAAAAATCAGTCTAATAAACGCTCACTGAAAGAAGGCAAAACTCTTATATAGTTTTATACGAAATTACCAATAAAGTAACTTACTGAAGAGCAACGAATTCATTGAACAATTCAATAAACTGATGAAAAGTAACAATCGTCAATAATTTTTTATGGTTATTAGCTTGGCGTGCTCTCAACTTAGTATTCTTAGATGCTCTTATACAGTTATTAATTGAGAGCTTTCGATGCCTGTACCATTTCTGCATTAGTATAATTGTGTAGCAACTACAATCATTCTCTGTGTCCAGGGAGGTCGAGAAATTTTCGTACCCGAAAAATTCCTAGACCGGACGGAAATCGAACCCACCCACCTCCAGCATGGTCTTACTTTGTAGCTGCGCCTTTACCGACAGAGCTAAGGGAGGCTCCAATGGCACATATCTATGGAAATCAAACCATGAAAATATATTTCATATTTGAGTTAGGCCCTAGGGCCAAAAACTGGAGCAATTGTGCCATAACTAGAACACTTACCCTGGTGCCAATTTAGATTTTGTTTTGCTGCTGCGTAAATTCAGGCCAAATAGCGAAGAAAAAATGAATTTCAGACGTTACCCTCTCCGAATACCAGGAAACTTTGCATAATTATTTGGTATGGGGATAATTCAAATTTATGCTAGAGTTCAGCCATTTTGTCTTACGCCTTATATTTCAAAACGAGACATGTGATATTTTCCAATTAATCATAGCCCTAAACCGTCTCGTCTAATCGAGATGAAGCCTGCGTAAATGTTGTAGGAAAAAAGATTGCCGTATCCAGAAAAAAAAAATTACACGGTTTATAAAAATTTCAATTTTTTGCCAAACAAAAGTAAAACAAAAATGTATAAACTTCAATAGCAATGTTTCTTGCTCAACATTTACATAATTATTGCGCAGAATACACAATTCACTCAATTTTTTTGCAATAAAAACGTCCACAATGTAATAAAAATAATAAAAAAAACATAATTTAATTAATTCTTTTAACCAATATTTTTATTATTATAAAATTGATCTCCGATGTCATTTTGATTTGGGGAGATAAACTAGCCAAAGGCTAAAAATTTCCCTAATAAAAAATTAAAAAAAAAATCACACGTTTTCGTACTATGATTTATTGAAAAATATCTAATTCGGCATTTTTTTCAAATGAGGCATGAGCGAACAATTAATATGCAAAGTTTCATGGGAATAGGAAAGGGCCGTCAGCTTGAAATGCAGGTCAGCTTGCTTTCAGGTTTGCAATTCATTGTTGGTCTTTTTATACAGTAATACAATTATCTTTTGAAACATTCCCATAAATTCGTTACATCTCAGCAAACAATTTGAGTGCAAGATGAAATTACTTTATATGCGCCGTTGCTGTGTCATTGTTCTTCAAGTCGAACGTTTTCGATTCCCACCAATAAAAAGCGTGTCGTGTCGTCCAACTACCTACGGATAGATCATTGTTGAATTTTCACTACTTATCGTCGTGCTGCGCATACTTCAGTTCAAAGGTCTTGGGATCACCCTTTATTCATTATTGTATAGTAGCATCCTTTCTCCGTCCAAGTTCACTACTATCCACAGTCCATGTAACATTATCCTTCTCCTTCAAGTACACTCAATTCTGTTTTCACGCGATTTTGATTTTTTTCGATTTGCCCTCAGCAGGATAGGTACAGCATTTTTAATATCACCTGAACTAAGGCTGATCCAAACTTAATTTTTATTTTATGTCCCCTTTCGCCTTAAAAAATCACAAAATATTGAAGGGGCAAAAAAAAATTGAGTTCTATTCAAAATGGTCATTCTTTCTGCACTTTTTCCTAAAACTACATTTTTTATTATCAATCTATTAATTTTAAATACTTTTTTTTTCGTGCTTTGTTATTTATTTTTTGCCCCCTCCACCTTGACCTATTTGAGTTATGAGAAATGACAGTAATATCAGCCTAAGGAAACTGCAACATTGAGTTAAATTTGCAATGTAGCAATACACTTGTTAGTAACAAATTTCAAGCTTATTTTATAATACGTGATTAGATACTCCACATTTATAAGCTGCAAGAATTTTCAAATCAAATGAGACCAAAGAATCAAAAATATCTCCAAATGATAAAATGACATGCGATCAATGAGCCAAACGATAACGCTTTGTCAGAGATGGAAAGTAATAATGATATAATCTTCTCCCAATTTTTTTTTCATGACAAACAGCTCCTGCTACACAGCTCACTCGGACTGGTAGAAGGAAATGATCAAATTGTTGGCAAGCTGCTTCACAAAGTAAAGCCGAAGATGATACACGGGTTATCGGGATTTTTTGTTATGTCTTTTCCCGATTCCGATCAAGCTATGTCCTCAACCATGTAGGTATATTGCAACAAAGCAGGCAAGCAATATATCATTATCCTTCTACCACTCCGATCGAGCTGTGTTGCAGAGAGAGTTTTTCGTGGTAGTCTTTGCAAGCGTTTTGTGAAGGGCTGTAAGTGATAACAAAATTACTTTCGAACTGTTTTTGAATAAATAGGGGAAATGGCTCTAATGTTGGACTATGGATCAAAGATTGGGCCCACCGCAAAAAAATCTGCTATTTATCAATTTATTTATTTATTTGTCGTCAATCAGCGTAGTTTTACAATAGTGCTGTTGCCTTACATGCTATTTTAAAACATACGCTTTATTTTAAATTGTCGATAAATTTAGACTGTACATACAAATATCTAAGAAATAAAAATTGTTTTAAACTCAACGAGATGAAAACCTAGCAGATAGTGTTCTCCTTACTGTATCTTTAGATATCGTTCGATCTATACGCTCACAATAATTATTATACACTCGCATCACATCGCATTGTATCTAGATTAACGCGTCATTGGGACGGTGCTAATGGATATTTTTGGTTGCTATTGAAAATTTAGTCGATTGAAGAATTTATATATGGTTCCAAATTGGGGCCATTAGGCCAACATTACATCCATTTCCCCTACTTGTACAAATTTTGATACGCTCCAAAAATATACAGATTACCATACGCTGTTAGACGGGTAATGGTTTTCATACAGAATACTCTAATAATCTTCTGACAACTTGATTCAATTTTAACAAGTTTGTCGCTTTTTTGTTTTGTTTTGGTCTCAGATTATAGTACAAATTCCAATAAACACTTTGTTACTTGGATGATAATTTCAAAACTATTAAAGATGATGATTTAAATTTTAAATAATTGACTTGAAATTATTATCTGTGATCAGAGCCATTAACACTCATGACTTGTCTGGCGTGACATTTAGCGTTAGACATATGGACTTACTCGCCAAGTTCGTCCCCATGCAGCCTAGTGGCCTTCGAACAATGCTCATGATTCTGTAGCTCAGAGCATACTATAAAATGGTGTGACATTGAAAAACTTTAGGACTTAAATTTGTTATGACTTTGGAGCTTAAAAATGTCTCAAGAGTCTTAACACTTATTCTGTTTATATATTAGAAGAGATACGGTTATTATTCTTCTTCCCCACCT